GAATGTATGTGATTATATGGGGGATACATGTTGGCCATCAAGATTAGGAAGGTCTTGGTAATTTAACTAAAGCTATGGGAAATATTAGAGACATACAGGAAGGTATTAAGAGTAATTTTACATTTACATTTACATTTACGTCATTTAGCAGACGCTCTTATCCAGAGCGACTTTACAAATTGGTGCATTCACCTTATAGCCAGAGGGATAACCACTTTACAATGTTTTTTTTTGTATATATGTATATATTAATAATTCATAATATATATTATGTTATTCCAGTTTAGAGTCCATTGATAATGTTAATTGAGGAATTGGGAATGTTAAGTTGGAAATGTATAAAGTGGATTTTAAGGTTTACAGGATTGAAGATGTGGAAAGAAGACTATCTCAGTCGATCAGATAGCGCCCCAAGTGACCAGAGAAAAGCTTGGGGTTCCTCTGACGGAACATGGATGAAGAAGATTGAAGTTATTTTAATTTGATATATTCATTTGAATATATTGTAATATCCATGTAACTTAGCAAGTGTCATGGATCTTTGTATTTGTGGGGATGATGTCATGATGGTCACAATTTATTTCTATGGATGTTTTCTTGGTGGCATGTGTAAGATGATGGGTCAGTTATCTAGCATAGTTTAGGATCTAGTCATATATATATATATATATATATATATATACTACTGATTGGAGAATATTGTATTTTATATGAAGTTTTATGTGAATTGTTGGGGGTTAAGTAATCTTACTTACCACAAAATAAGAAAAAGAAAGTGGATTGTAATGATGTCATTTCATAGTGTTGTGTGACCCAGGGGAGAGTTGGTAGATAAGTGGCTTGGTGCCACAGAGTCTGCATTCCTTATGTCAAAGGAGATTACTGATGTTGATCTTAGAAATGATTGATGGACAGGATATATTACTCTTTACTTGGGGGTAAAGAGTAATAACATCAAAGAAAGGGAGTGCCCATGGAGGTTTACCAGATGTTCATGAAGAAATTGTAACAGAGTGTATATAAGCTGAGGGATCTCTTTGTACTGGAGTTGAAAGATGGCAGAGGTAGGGCTATGTCCTTATTCTGTTATAACTAACCATGGTACCATATTAAATACTAATATGAACTCCCCATCAAAAGTGTCTAAATCTACCCTTACATTCGTAATCCCTTGATACCCTAGAAACCCACCATAACAGTTGATGACTTAATCAAAGCTTCCTCCAGCATCTCACCATACATCTGCCTGTAGTTATTGAACTCAACCTGCAGGAGGTTTGTTTGTTGTGATTGAGTGGGGGGAAACAGCTGCGGGCAAGGTTCTGACAGATGGGTGTGTCTTGGTGGTGGCAAGGACACACCCAAGAAATATCCACATCAAACCACACCCCCAAGCCAACTCACGATTGGTTTCTGTAATGCCGCAAGCATTTATTGAGGAGGAAGCCAAAAAACGAGGCCAAATCAGCGGGTGCAGTTTGTCATGTAAAAATCTTCCCAGCGTGCAGTAGTTCCCAGTCGTTCTGATTGTGTTCTGATTGTGACGTCATGCTGTAAAATTTCTCCCAGCGTGAAAATGGTCCCAGTTCAGTAATTGCACGCAAATCTCTTTATGTGGATGGCTGAGCTCATGCGGATGTTTCTCTCACACCCTCCCTCGACCTCGAAAAACTGTTCTGTGGGCACGCGCATTTGCTTCACACATCAGCCAATCAATGGTGGCCAGGAGTATTGACTCTGACCAATCAGAAGCTTGTTGAGGAGTGAACTGCATCGCAGTGCTAACTGTGCCACTAGAGATCCTGGTTCGAATCCAGGCTCTGTCGCAGCCGGCCGCGACCAGGAGACTCATGGGCGGCACACAATTGGCCCAGCGTCGTCCAGGGTAGGGGAGGGAATGGCCGGCAGGGATGTAGCTCAGTTGGTAGAGCATGGCGTTTGCAACGCCAGGGTTGTGGGTTCGTTTCCCACGGGGGGCCAGTATAAAAATATATGTATTCACTAACTGTAAGTCGCTCTGGATAAGAGCGTCTGCTAAATGACTAAAATGTAAAATGAGTGAGGTCAGCATATAAATACCTGGACTCGCGCGTCGAGGGTTGATGTGAGGAGACATTTTTTGCGATTGCAAAGACTTGGGCGCTATGTTTTCGATTGACAGTGCATATATTTGTTTGTTAGTTAGTTAGCTATACATACAAGTTAAAACTGCACACCTCTGAGAACAAGCCATCTCAACCAGTTTACAGCTAATTATGCTAGTTAGCTAGCTAAATCAAGGGTGAGGGGGTGTGAGAGAAACATCTGCATGAGCTCAGACATCCACACAGACACGCGTACAATTATTGACTGGGAACATTTTCAACCTGTGAAAAATTATACAACATGACGTCACAATCACAACACAATCAGAATGATTGTGAACTATTTCACGCTGGGAAGATTTTTACATGACACAGTTCCCCTTTAAAATGAGGGACAGACGTAATTGAATCACTAATCACATAAAATAAATAATCTTCAGAAATGACTTTGTCAAAGCAACAAAATAACTAGGGCTATACAATGATGGTGAAACTTGGAGACATGTTTGCATTAAGTGGGTTGAAGTCTTCCTAGAAGAGACAGGGTTGATGGAGGGTGCATTTTGGCACTTTAGCAAGCCTTTATTAATATACAAATCAGATTTATTGAATTCTTTATGAGGTCTGTATTAAAGTGCACTTCATTTAATATAACAGGCTTTTAAAATTCAATATTGTTGCACAATTTCTACTTAAAATATAAAAGGGACACAAAAGGCACTATTTTCATGGAATGACCCTTATGATCAAGTGAAGTCATCATAGCCATAAGTGTTCATCAAAATGTTAGCCTTTTAACCTATCTGTAGACACATAAACGTCTTGTTGAAAAGACTAAACACAAAGCTGTCAAAATAGACCTACCTCCTTTTTGTCTGACATTGAATCAAGTTTGTAAAACCAAAAAGTGCAGAAATGTGTCCTAGTTATAGGCTAGGCCACCTAAACATATCTGAACCGTGGACACAGCACAGAGGGTCTAATATACACATTGTCTGAACTGCAGCCAAAGTATGGATTAACAGGTGTTGACCTTATTTAATTGACTTCATAATAATGTCATAGTGGACAACGGTGGCCCTGGAGGAACTTGCATGCAACCATGTCCCGTTAAAAATAGCCTAATAAGAACCATCTGTTGTAGTAGTAATAACAAGCCTAGCTATATGATAAGGCATAATAACTGGTTCGGTCCATTTACCCAGTCAGAGAACTGTGAGCAGACATTTTGTGTTTAGCCAAGCAGTTTCTCTCACAAGGCAAAATTCAAGGTTTCGACTGTGTTACGGAAATGAAACTGAAATGATTCTCATATTGCCACGGTCAGATTTTTGCGGGGGGGATCAGGGTTGAGATTATGTGCGTGGTGAAGACTGGTGGGATCATTACTATTATTTACAATTTTAATGAGGCCAAAGTTATGCTCGCTAGGCTAATAATTTTTTTCCCCCTAAGCGTTCACAATGAGTATTAGCAGGTAATTCTACGAAAATTCTTCCCTGTTACGGCCTGAACCACCAGGAAAAATACTTAAGTGTCAGATAATGACACAAAATGTTAATAAAAACATATAACTCTTACATATTGCAAACAATTGTTTTATATATCGTAGAACACGGTCAGTACCATGAAATTGATTTGCTTGTCCTTCAGGTCATGAGTAGGGGTTTTGTGACATATTTTGAGTTAAAAAATATATTTCTCTCCCACTTTAAATGTCATAATGCTAAAGAAAGTATTAGCATTACTTAGTGGATTACTTAAAAAAACGGAAATATCAACTGCAAACATTTTTTTTTTACAGGGAATAGCTGTCCCTCAATTTCATGTCACTGGTGTTACCCTTTATAAAAACCACCACTTTGAAAAAATGCAACATCCTTGACAACTTCTCCCTGGGTCAACAGCGTGGTCTCAGACTAGACGTAACATAGCAAAAGTAAATCCGGGACACTCAAATTAGTATGATATGTTACTTTTGGTATGGTTACATAAGGTTACTTAAGGCAAAAACTAAAGTAGGGTAGTTGGTTGGGGTGGATAGGTGGGCATATAACGCGAACGTCTAGCAACCCAAAGGTTGCTTGTTTCGAATGTCATCACGGACAACTTTAGCATTTTAGCTAATTAGCAACTTTGCAACTACTTGCTACTTTGCAAATACTTAGCATGTTAGCTAACCCTTCCCCTAACCCTAACCTTAACCCTTTAACCTAACTTCTAACCCTAACCCTAGCCTTAAGACCTAACCCGTAGCCTAGCTAACATTAGTGAGCTAGCTAACGTTAGCCACCTAGCTAGAATTCGTAACACATCAAATGTTTTTCAAATTCGTAACATATTGTAAATGTATCAAATATGTAACATATTGTACATTTTGCAAATTCGTAACATATAATCCGAAATGTAATTCATAACATATCATACGAAAAAAAAAAAAAAAAAAAAAAAGAAATGGGTGATGAACATCCACAAATTAATACATACCATACGAAACCTAACATATCATACTAAATGGAGTATCTTGGATTTACATACAGAATAATACGAAATGCTCTGAGACCAGGTTGCATACAGGAGCAGCACCTCACTGTGCTTCTTCTGTCAGACACACAATAACACACAGTCAGACCGATGTCCAGACAGAATCTGTATGGAAAAACAGTCTGAATTTCCATTTGAAATCTAATTAAGCTGGGAAATCTATTCATAGTCAAACCATACACAGCTGTATGCTTTCCAGCAGTTCCCATCTTTCCCTAGTATGCATGCAGCAGACCTGGGTTTCAAATATGTGAAAAATCATTATGTGTTTGAGCTTGCCCGGCTTAATAAACTAATACAAAAGTCCCAAAACTGCAAACAACCACACATCTGGCACTCCAGGCAGACTCAAGTATTTGAAAGGATTTTTCAAGTATTTGAACCCAGGTCTGGTATGCAGTGAACTGTTAGCAGTGTTGGTCCTCTCACCAGTTGGCAGTAGAGTACAGCCACGTTCACAAATGCTGTGGCTATACCGGGGTGTTTAGGTCCAAAACTCTTCTCCCTTATGTCCAGAGCCAGCTCATACAGGATTCCCCTGGACAACACACACATCACACATGCACATCTCCTCTGTCAGCTTCACAAATCAGGATTACACACAAGCTACAAGCTAATAGAATTTGAGGTGAGTGAGGAACAAGAATTCAAGGTCTCTAGACTATCTGTCAAACAACAATCCACATAAAGTTACCAGACATGGGATGGTTGCATAGACTCAGATTAAGCCTACATCTGGAGTGGGCTAAAAGCAATTTTAACGTACACTCTCTTTAGATGAGGACTTGACTAAAGTATGTATAGCATTGTCTTTTTTGTGTTTGATTTATCATGGGCTGGAGCATTGTGTGGTGTTCACTGTGTTTGTTGGGTTTGTTCTGTTTGTGTGTGTAAAATCAATAGCAATGTCTAGGACTTGGTGGCTTGGCTAGAAACGTCCCATCTCCCCAAAACCTACCCTGCGTTTGTAGAGTATGGCCAGGTTTTTGAGGTGTAGGCCAGGGAGATGTCCAGGGATCGCGTACATGTCCTCTGCAGTCTCATACTCCCTCCTCTCAGTGTGGAGAGCAGCTATGTTGTTGAGGGACTGGGCACAGTCCGGGTGGTCCCAACACACGCTGACGCATCGCAAGAGAATGGGTTAGGAACACTTTGGCTGCTCTGGAAAACACAGTAAGGAGGGACACAGTTAACACCACAACACAATCAAAACCATTGGATGTAGCGAGTGAAAAACAGCAAATCATGTAGTAAAAAACACTGGTGACACTTTCCATGGAGCTTCTGTCATGTGGCCTACTTGACAATCAAATGTAAAGCACACAACACCGTCAATTACAACTGTACTTGGTCATTTACAACCCTCACACACCCTAGGTCATGATGGGCAAGGTAGAGAGAGAGAGATAAAGAGAGAGAGAGAGACAGACAGACAGAAAAACCCAGAGAACGGCAGAGACAGAAACAAAGAGAGAGGAAAGAGCCTTGGTTACCTTACAGTCTTTCTGCTGTTTCCTGCAGTGGCGGTCATCACAGGTGGGGTTGGCCTTCATGGCCATAGTGGACCAGGATCCCTGTGTTGTGACTTTGGCTATGGATATTCAAGATCATTTACTGATTAATTACTGGAATAATGAATTATCTGATTTATTTAATTAATTTGGTTATCCTATCCAAATTAATCTAAGAGGGGCATCATTAAGAGTTGGATTATATAGAGAGACCATTTAATTGACTCTATCGGTAGTTATCATTAAATGTTATACCATTAATCCTATATGAACAATAGTCTTAATCAACAGTCAATTTACTACATTCTCATTCTGAACAGTCGTCGCTCTGAAACCTCTTGAGTTCATTTTTCAATCGCTTGAAAATGAACTCAATATCCCAAATAATTCATTCAAGGTTTTATTTACTAGACTAATGTTGGAAATTGAGGTACTTAATAGATACAATAAAGAGGCAGGGTATAACGGTATACAGCACAGTTATTGAGGTGAGAATCTCCACAGGTCAATATAAATGAACTTTCATACTCATCAACTCAGCAAATACAACAGTACATACATTCACAAGACGTTTGAGGACGAGATGGTCTTATCAATTCAGAGGAAATATGAGAGGCCCCACCAACAGGCTTTCACAACCGTGAATTTATAGAGTTTTATCAACCAGGAATCGGCAATTGGCTAGGCTATCAGTTTGCATCCGAATGTGGACAATGCCGAGACCGTATTGATCATTGTTTGGTAAATAAAGACCTGCTGTCTTACAACACTCAATGAAAACCACCACTTATACACACACAACGCCATTTTCATAGAATAAGAAGAATATAACAGGCAAATTACTTGTGTGTCAATGTTGCCTGCCCAGTGGATTCCATCAGGATGGGATGAGTAGTTGGCGGATGGGGGTCTCAGTCTCTCTCTCTCTTGCTCTCTCTCCATTGGAGCTGAGACCAGTGGGCTGGAAAAAGCTCACAGCTGAAGGACTGATACCCACTCTTTCCTCTCTTTCTCTCTCAGTCCTCAGCAAAGTCTATTAAAGTCTGTGAGAGCTCTTCTATACGGTGAATTGCTCCTGTAATTCCCACTGGGATGTATTGCGAACTCAGTCCTTTGGTCTTGAATGAGCCACAGTGCGCTCGCAGGGTCCTCTCAGGTGATTCTTCTGTCTGAGTAGAAAAAGGCGTCCTCGATCTGTGTTTTAGTTTCCAAGGAACCAAAACGCATATTTAAGGAGATTTTTTCTGTAAAGAGAAGAGTTTCACAATCTTTAACATGAAATACGTAGCCTGTAGATTACAAAGATGACCATGGTTCCTTTACACACTTTGGATGTTACAGCAAAATACTATGGCGGACCAAACCTGCCGTAATTATAATTAAATGAATGAATAAATAAATGCCCACATAAATAGATAAATAAATGGGTGAATGAATGCACACACTTTCCACTTTCTTTCATTTGATTCATTTATATTATTTCTTATTTACATTTATTTATTTCTGTATTTCTTCCTCCAGTATGATATTGAGGGGGTGTCAAGCAAACATATGTGGGTGGTATCTAACACACCATTGGGTGGTCAATGTATGACAGAACGGTGTTCAAAGTTTAAAGGCCATGTTTCACATTAGCACCCCACAAACAATAATGTGTAACGCATATAGTTATGTATCAATATGATATATCACTTTTTGGGGGGAAATGCCGCACGCGCACCATAAAAATACACAAAAAGGGCAAATGGAGCATTGTCCTTGCTTGACGTAGAAACAGGTGAACAGTTTTGGAACACTGAACCATTGACTGCCTGCCTGCACCAGGTGGCTGTGTTACGAGTGGGTTGCTTTTGACAATAAGGCACCTGACTACAGCCATATAGTTTGGAACCTAGAAAAAGACCAAGATACGGGAGTAGCCAAGAAGGAGTAGACCGGGATAGGTGAGAGGAATGTCCAATAAAGTCAAGTTGGCAATCTAGCTCACGTTAGCTAGATTACTGCAATATGTAACTTTTTGGGCGACCTGACCAAATTCACATAGAAATGTATGTTATAGATCTGTCATTCTCATTCAAAGCAAGTCTAAGAAGCGGTAGATCTGTTCCATGTGCACTATTTCTATGCTTCCCGTTCTTAAGTGTTGTTTTTGCGTCTTTTACTTCCAGTTTTGTACACCAGCTTCAAACAGCTAAAAATAAAATATTTTTGGTTATGGAAAATATACAGTGGGGAAAAAAAGTATTTAGTCAGCCACCAATTGTGCAAGTTCTCCCACTTAAAAAGATGAGAGAGGCCTGTAATTTTCATCATAGGTACACGTCAACTATGACAGACAAAATGAGGAAAAAAAATCCAGAAAATCACATTGTAGGATTTTTAATGAATTTATTTGCAAATTATGGTGGAAAATAAGTATTTGGTCAATAACAAAAGTTTCTCAATACTTTGTTATATACCCTTTGTTGGCAATGACACAGGTCAAACTTTTTCTGTAAGTTTTCACACACTGTGCTGGTATTTTGGCCCATTCCTCCATGCAGATCTCCTCTAGAGCAGTGATGTTTTGGGGCTGGTCGCTGGGCAACACGGACTTTCAACTCCCTCCAAAGATTTTCTATAAGGTTGAGATCTGGAGACTGGCTAGGCCACTCCAGGACCTTGAAATGCTTCTTACGAAGCCACTCCTTCGTTGCCCGGCGGTGTGTTTGGGATCATTGTCATGCTGAAAGACCCAGCCACGTTTCATCTTCAATGCCCTTGCTGATGGAAGGAGGTTTTCACTCAAAATCTCACGATACATGGCCCCATTCATCTTTCCTTTACATGGATCAGTCGTCCTGGGCCCTTTGCAGAAAAACAGCCCCAAAGCATGATGTTTCCACCCCCATGCTTCACAGTAGGTATGGTGTTCTTTGGATGCAACTCAGCATTCTTTGTCCTCCAAACACGACGAGTTGAGTTTTAACCAAAAAGTTATATTTTGGTTTCATCTGACCATATGACATTCTCCCAATCCTCTTCTGGATCATTCAAATGCACTCTAGCAAACTTCAGATGGGCCTCGGACATGTACTGGCTTAAGCAGGGGGACACGTCTCGCACTGCAGGATTTGAGTCCCTGGCGGCGTAGTGTGTTACTGATGGTAGGCTTTGTTACTTTGGTCCCAGCTCTCTACAGGTCATTCACTAGGTCCCCCCGTGTGGTTCTGGGATTTTTGCTCACCGTTCTTGTGATCATTTTGACCCCACGGGGTGAGATCTTGCGTGGAGCCCCAGATCGAGGGAGATTATCAGTGGTCTTGTATGTCTTCCATTTCCTAATAATTGCTCCCACAGTTGATTTCTTCAAAACCAAGCTGCTTACCTATTGCAGATTAAGTCTTCCCAGCCTGGTGCAGGTCTACAATTTTGTTTCTGGTGTCCTTTGACAGCTCTTTGGTCTTGGCCATAGTGGAGTTTGGAGTGTGACTGTTTGAGGTTGTGGACAGGTGTCTTTTATACTGATAACAAGTTCAAACAGTTGCCATTAATACAGGTAACGAGTGGAGGACAGAGGAGCCTCTTAAAGAAGAAGTTACAGGTCTGTGAGAGCCAGAAATCTTGCTTGTTTGTAGGTGACCAAATACTTATTTTCCACCATAATTTGCAAATAAATTCATAAAAAATCCTACAATGTGATTTCCTGGATTTTTTTTCTCAATTTGTCTGTCATAGTTGACGTGTACCTATGATGAAAATTACAGGCCTCTCTCATCTTTTTAAGTGGGAGAACTTGCACAATTGGTGGCTGACTAAATACTTTTTTTCCCCACTGTATTTCACAGCGGTTTAGATGGTACAATGATTCTTTACACTATACTTGCTTGTTTTGTCACATAAACTGAAATTAGGCGAACTATTAGAATTTTAGCAATCAGGAAATGGCGGCGCGATTTCCACATAGTGCATCTTTGAGCAATAGAGTGGATACCTAATTACTAGGGTTGGAATTTAGTTAGCTAGCTAGCCACCTTGGCTAATTCTTGACATCATCCATCTTTGAATCAGTTTGGCAAAATTAGGTCTCAACAATCACATGCATCTAAGCTAGCAGCTAGCTAACTGCAGTCAAATAAGGAGGAGCATGTTGTCATGATGGAATAAGTCACCTATGTGAAGCTAACAACAATACGGATTAGCCGCAATAGTGGAATTTGCTGTTCGCCTTAGCAATTGCTGGTGAGATGAGACCTGGTGCCATATAGCTAGCTATAAATTCACCTGTATGCCATGTCATTTGTCATAGCTGTTATTACAAAATGGCATGCATACTTTTAATCAGATCTATTGTTGTCATTTAGAGACATGAATGTGAAGTAGGCAAACTGATACATGAATCCTAAATACAGGTACCATTTTCTTTTGTTAATCTCTGCAGGTTTGTGAACTGATTTCTTGGAGCCTGGTGGCGATAGATGCAACCATACTACACGGCAGGACATTTCTCTGCATCCAGGTTGAGGCTTGCTACCAGCAGGAACATGGAGCACTCTGTGTCAGTAAGTCATGATATTAGTGTTTTCCTTTCCATTGCATGATATTAGGGAGGACGCCCTAGGCCATTG